AACAAATGTGAATTGCTGCTTAAAACTACTCATAAAAACTATAAAAAAAAAAATCACCAAATATTAAAAAAAGTTTTTTGGTAAATTAAGTCTCAATAAATTTAAGAGTCATGCAGTAACCTTAGTAAAAATGTTGCATCAACATGATCAAGATTGCACAGTTCTTTTTTATCATTACATAAAGCTTTGTTAGAAAATAAACAAAAATCTTTGTTTTGAACAGAATGACATAAATAAATGTCATTTTTGCTCACCTTGACGAAATCGAGATGAGCTTATGCTATACCCCTGGCGTCGGTCGGCATCCCGTTAAAGTTGTAGGAGCAAGTTCATTCCCAAGTAACTATGAGCCGTACCTGGACCAAACTTGCATGGATGATGCATCTAGGAATGGACACTACCACACTTGCTTCGGTTGCTGGATCTGACCTAGATTTTCCACATGAGTGACCAGGTTAAAGTTTTTGGAGCAGGTCCATTCTTAAGTAACTATAAGCCCTACCTGGACCAAACTTGCATGGATGATGCATCTAGGGATAGACACTACCAGACTTGCTTCGGATGCTGGATCTGACCTACATTTTCCAAAGGAGTAACCATGACAATGTGTTTGGATTAGCTCTATAATTATATGGTGCATCTAAGGATGGACAATTTCAGACTTGCTTTGAATGTAGGAAATGAAAGACATTTTCTTGATTAGTGAACAGGTTAAAGTTTTTGGAACAGGTCAATTCCCAATGAACTACCTAACTTGCACAGAACTACTTACATAGAACTTGCATGAATATTGTTTTCAGGATGCACACTAACTGTATAGAAAATATGATGTGAGATTTGCATTACTTATACTGATGTTATAACATTCGTCAAGGTGAGCTTCGTAATCTACCAATGTTTTCCATTTGGTGGCATTGCAGCTACCCCTTCTGTCAATATACTTTTTTCGGAGAGCAACAGTTCTGCAGCTATATAACCATAAGGTTGGACTCTGGCAAATTCCAGTCGTTGGGGAAAATGGAAAAGTTAGAGAAAGCTCTCACACACACAGACAAAGAAGTAGGATTGTTCTTCCAAGATTAAGTGGTTTGTGGGGTTTTTTTGGGTTTTTTTTGTTGTTGTTAAATTGGCTTGTCAGTCACCCCTGCCCCTACCCTCCAGTGATTTTTTGGGGGTCAAAATGCCACCAATATTCGGCTGTTTCCCCTCACAAAAATTAGCCATTTTTTCCCAGTTATTAGTATATTTTTCCCAATTTCAAACATACGAACATAATGTTTTGATTTTGAACAAAAGTCCCTAAATTTGCTGGCAGAGTATATACTTTTTTTATTCTTCAAATCCATGCATATGCAGCCGATTTTTTCAATGAATGTGTAAAACAATGCAGATATCCATATAAGCAGATAAGTAGCTTATAATATTCTCAATGAATTGGTAAATAGTTCCCAGATACAAGTCATGTTGCATGTTCACATAATGATTTTGGATTACATAGAGGGTCAGGCTAATAACAGGAAATGGACAACACATAGGGTTTCACTAAAATCAGGAAAAAACAAACAGTAAAGACTGTAAACTTGATTATCAATATAAGACAGTTTACTAGATTATGAGTCTAAATGCTGGTTATTTTTTTTTTTTATGAAATGAGACAAAGCAATTCCAAGGAAATAGAAGCTACAAGATGTGACTAATATAAGAGATGTTCACATTCAACAAAATATTGATGTTAATGTTTTAAATGATTATTTTATGAATTCAAACAAACTCAAAGTTAAAATCAAACAAAATCTGTTGTTGTTACTTAGTTTGATTATTTTATGTATTTTTTAGCATTCTAATTTACTATAATTGATTTTTGAATTCCCAATTTGAGGAAAATGTCGCTAAATAAATTTTTCCCAATTCAAAAGGAGGGGGTGGTGGTTTAAAAAACAAAAAAAATCACTGCCCTCCCTTCACATGCTTTGAAAACAAATTGCCACGGGTCTGCATGTTTAATAAGTAGACCAGCCTCTATATGTCATTCAAATATGAGGATATTTTGTTGAAATGTTAAAATATTCCATACAGGTTAATTATCGGAAATACTTAGTGCCTGTCCATACCATCATTCCAAGTCAAAGCTTTAAAAAACTATTCAGGGAGGGGATTAAAAAAAAAAGTTATACACACTTAACAACGTCTATTCCCTTCAAATACATGTATATGGCTCTCTTTGTTATTTAAGAGAAGTCAACCCTTTTTTCCTGCCCGGGGGGGGGGGGGTTCAAGGTTGGTTTTTATACGCCCGTCTTAAGATGGGACTTATTATGTTATAGCGTTCATGTCCGTCCGTCCGTCTGTTAGCTTTTCGTGTCCGGCTCATAACTTTAATACTATTAGGCCTAGAGTTATCAAACTTTGTCAGCTGATGCATCTTGGGTAGAAGGTGTGTCGCGCATTAAAAGTAGGTCCCTCTGACCTTTAATTAAGATGTTATGGCCAAATATGGAAAAATCCTGTCCGGCTCATAACTAGAAAACTATGAGACTTAGAATCATCAAACTTGGCCAATTTATGCATCTTAGGTAGAAGGTGTGTCGCGACCTATTTCAAGGTCACTGTGACCTTTAATTTAAGTGCAATTTTTAAAAAAAAAATGTCTTTGTACTATTAAATTATACAATCCCAAAAAATGTAAGAGTGTTGCAGTATACATATTAAAAAAATGTTAAATCAAGAAAATACTTATTTTTTCCATTATATACTTTACAGCGATCTATAACAAATGTAATGTTATAAGAGAAATTCCACCTCTCCCATGGGTTTAATTATTAAGCACTGGTCAAGTAGAATTTTGATAACAGAAAATTGCATGTCAAATTAGAGAGAAATTAATGAGTTTAGTGTGAGGAGCTAACTGGTAGAGCATCTCTGATCAAGCAGGTGTTATCTATATCTCTTGGGAACTGTGCAAATGTTGGATTAAATACATGTAGTTCTTGTTCACAGGCTAGCCTAACTTTTAATATGAATTTGGTGAAAAGTAATTAAAACTAATTTGATACTGCATGATAATTAAATAAAATTTGTTGATATTTTATAATAAACTAATTATTTAAAACTAATTATATGGGGGGGGGGGGGGGCGTTAATGTTGAAATCAGCATGCCCATTGTCCATATGATTGCAGCTTATAACCAGCTAGAGTGACATTAAATCTAAAAAAAAATCAAGTATTTAAAAAAAAATGTTTTAATTATGGTAGATAGCCACTACAAATCTAAGAGTCATGCAGGAACCTTATTAATAATGTTGATTCAAGATGACAAAAGTTTTTTTTTCTTTTTAGAAATCTTTGTAACAAATTTTAAAAAAAATCTTTGTTTTCAAATTTAACTTCAGGATAACATAAATATGCATTTTTATTGCACTACAAAGCAAATATTGCAGATCCATTCATCCCTTGGGAGTAATGAGTGGACATGCATCCAGTTAAAGATTAATGACTTCAATGTAGAAAGGCTAGCTGTCTCAGTCATTTAATTCTGCTAGAGCATCTCTGATCAAGCAGCTCTTATCTATATCCTTTGGGAATTAGACAGAAGAACTGCTGGTCAGTTTATAGCATATGTCATTTGATGGCCAGCCTTTTTATTTTCAAAATTAATTTGGTATAGATTAAGTTGTTATGACTAAATTGATATTGCTTAATATGATATTTTTATATTTGTTGAAAATATCAACTAGCGCATCACGTCTCACAAATATGAAAGATGGGGGGGGGGGGGGGGGGCAGATGGGCATTTGTCAAGCTCTAACACAACCAGTTGAGGATCTATAATGTAATATTTGTTAATGCCTACACCACAGGAGATGTATAAACAAATATTATAAGGAATGGAAAAATCATGGAAATCCTCCTACCAGTATCAAGGTTGACATGATTTTCTTGCACTCTAAACTGTTTTTGATAATTGAACAATATTTGACGGGCGTATCATGCTGTGGCGGGGCACTTTATTTTTTTTTTTTGTTTCTTCTGCATAGAAATTTAGTTACTAAATTGTCAATGACTTACAAGATGAAAGTGGAATGCATAGGGATTAAAATTGGACTATGGAATAGAGCCTTTATGAACATATGACATTTTTTTAGTGAAACAAATTCATGATTTTAAAGGCTGATATCCAATGTAAACTAACCAGAGTGAATTCTGTGTATTTTTTAATCCTTTAAATTTTTTCTTCACAAAATAGAACAATTTATTTTGCATGATTTTTGGGGGTGGGGGTGGGGAATGAAATACATTTTAAGTGTTTGATAGAAGCTTAATTTATGAACTTGAAACAACCAACCCTGGACCAGGAGGTATATGTATAGGGGTGTATTCAAGGACCTTTGATTTGTACTACAAAGCTTTGTGCTATCTAATCTAATGTGTCGATATTAAATTTAAATGTATTTCTTGGAAAACGATAAATTCATGATACAGCAGTAAAATGTTGCACCTTATGAAACAGAACAGAAGCCAAACGTAGCAATTACAGGTGCCAAGAGTCATACATACAGCAACCATACTCACAATGTTATCAGAAAACTTTATATTGCATCAAAGTTTTTTTTAATATTGGGAAACATAACAGACTTAGAAAATCGTAAATGATTCAAATATTATGTACTCATCACTTTTAACACAAATAATTAGTGTAAATCGTGTTTATCATATGAACTGGAAATATGAATAGATCCAGTAAAATACATTAAACGGGTGTAACCTAAAGCAGTTACTGGATTGCTCCTTACATGTGTTCATCAAACAAGCAATTCTACTGCATAAAATCATACTGAACTTTAATAATTACATCTTAATTAAATGTACTATCATTTTTGAACGTTTAGTTGATATATACTGCCTCATTGATGTAAAGCAGTAGTAGCGGGTGTCCGAAACCAAGATTTTCTCGATTCACACTTTACCAGCAGTGTTTAGTGAATTGTCAAAATTTTTTCAGGTACCATATGAAATTCTGAACAAAAAGTTTCGTTCGGGTCAGAAGAACATTGACAGAGAGGTATCTCATGTTCAACAAGCCAGCACTGAGGTGGAACAATGTTTGCAAGACAAGAAATCACCATCTGTACAGCAGGTGTCCTTTGCATTGGACAGTATGGTGGAAAAGCTCTGCTTACTTAAACGAAAAGTAATTTTAAAAAAAAAATTATCAGAGTTATTGACTTATTTAAATCTTTTGTGCTCTAGGGAATTGAAAAATACCTGTCATATTTATTATTTGAATTTTGATTTGTACTGTTTTAAGCTCACTCTGGCCAATGGCTAAAGTAAGCTTTTCTGATTTATATTTGTCCTTCCTCCTGGTGTCTTAGCCTTGTTAGGTCACCTGAGTCACTCTGGTTACCTATTGCTGTCTGTTTACATTCGTCGTCTTGTTGATGTGCATGGTGCATAAACTTTTCACATTCTCAAGAACCACTGGATCAATTTCAATCAACTTGCCACAAAGTATCCATAGATGAAGGGAATTCAAGTTTGTTCAAATGAAGGGCAACTGGTGCACTCTTCCATGAGGAAATAATCAAGAAAAATAGGGTGGGGTAATTTATAAATCTTCTCAAGAACCATTGGGCCAGACAAGTTGAAACTTATATGAAAGTTACATGACAAAGTCTAGATTCAATTTTTTTTCAAATCATGGCCCCCGAGGGTAGAGTGGGGACCAATGGGCAATCAAATTTTTATGTAGGATTATATATATATATAGGAAAAAATCTTTAACAGTTAAAATCTCCAGAATAGCCAAGCCATGATAAGTCATATTTATATGGAAGCATCCTAAGAAAATGTAGATTCAAGTATCATGACTCCTTGGTAAAAGGAAGTTTGTTCAAATGAAGCCACACCCTTTCCCAAGGGGAGTTAATAAAGAAATGGTAAAAATTAGGTGGGATCATTTAAAAAAAATCTTTTTCTCAAGAACCAGTAGGCCAGAAAGATGAAAATCCTGGCAAAGTGTAAATTTAATTTTTTTCAAATCATGATCCACGAGGTAGGGATTGGGCCAGCATGGGTAAATAAAGTTTTACAAGGGTATACATAGGAAAACTCTTTTTAAAAATCTTCTTTTCAAGAACAGCAAAGCCATGCCAGAGCAGTCATTTTTATGAGGTTGGAGAGAATACTCTAAATCGGATATTATCTGTGAAATCGCGTATAATACCTGATATCAGGTAATATCCCTTGCAGAATTATCCTGAGATATCCTAAGAAATCCTAAGATAATCTCAAGATTTATTCCTAGGATATCTTTAAAAAATCCCAGGATTGTTCCTAAGATATCCTGGGATGTTTTTGGAACAGGAATTCCTGGGATTTCCTTGGACACTCCCAATAAAAGGGTTCTACAAAAATCCCAGGAATCAAAAAGCCAAGACTCCCCAGAATATCCCAAGACTTAAAATTGTCCCAGGAAACCAGGAATTCCTAGGATGTCCTAGGATATAGGATATCCTAGGACATTTATTTTAAAATTTATGCATAAAAACAAAGCATAATTATAAAATCTCTGAAAAAAATTTTAATGAATGTATGTATTATAAACTTTCATGGCCACACAGAAAAATATATTACATAAAATAATAAAAAATGCTGATGGTATCTGATACAACTAATACTTTACAATTTTACTGCTTACAGTGCAATTATAAGAATCTATATAACTATGACTCAACATAATGATTTTCACACAAGGGGGAAAAACAGATTTTCTTACTTTCAAGCTATTTTAATACATTCTGAAGTGGCTCTCATAGAATATTAATGATATACAATGACAAATAATAATAATAAATATTTAAAATCAACAACCTAGGGGAGGGGGTTGGGGGGGGGGGGGGGGGGCTCTTCACTGCTGAAAGAATTCTGTACTAAAAAGAGTTTCAGATACCAAACAGAAACAATTCATAACAAAAATTTAAAAAAAAAAAAGAGGCCTTGACCTCTGACCATTTCACTTCAAAATCTATAGGGGTAATGTTTAATTTATAAACAATATTAAATTTGTATTGACAATAAATCATGTCCCGCAGTGGGATAAGTCAAAAGGAGTTATGATATAAAATTTCATTGCAATATCTGAAGGTTTTCTAGAAATATTAAGAAAACCAAGTGTTACAGACAGACAGATTGAAACAGACCCAAATTAATATCCCCTGCACCTCATCAATCCAATTAAAGTCACCCAGCTTTAGTTGATCCCTAACGTATCTTCTTTAGCTGTACATTTTTCTTCCTCATCTTCTGTGGCCTTAGTTGCTGTTCTTGAAGCCTTGTGAGCTTTTTCTTCACTCGACTTTTCACTTGTCTTCGCTATAATAAAATTTTACTTAATGTATTCCATTGTTTAGTCTGAATAATTATGTAATTACATGTATTTCTAAGGGATTAAAATTAAACTTGTAAAATTTAGAAGCCAAAGAGGCTACCAAGCTTTCAGATTCTACCAGTCCATCAAAATGTGTATTAGCCTAAGTGAGATAGACCATTTTTCTCAAAAGATTTATTTTATTAACACTGGCACATGTCACTTAAACAAACATCAGCATGATGCTGGCCTTCACTACCTCATAACATGATGCAATTTCTGCCTCTCAAGAAAATTGTAATTATTTGACAACAGGACCAAGTTATGTCAAGTAAGTGTTGAAACCCAAATGCACCATTTAAAATTTAAATTTTGTAATTTGTTCATAAATTGGGTCTTGTTTGAAAGATTGTGAAGACATGTAAATATGTATTTTTACATGAATTTATTCTTAAGTCAATGACTGATACCAAAAAAATATGATTAAAATTGTTAGGAATCCATGTTTATTAGGGACCACTTAATGCCAGGGAGACAGAAATTCTTAAACTCGTACATTATTTGAACAGCTTACCTTTCTTGGCATTATTCTCCTTGTTGTTCAGTCATTTGTTTCTTATTCCCTTAGTCTGAATTAAACAGTCTGCAAAGTTACCAATGAAATTTTTATAAGACATGTATATATTTGTACTTTACTTTTGTAATCATGAAATAAATTTTAATGACAGTTGATATTTCTTGCTGATTTTTTTTTTTTTTTAAGTGTTTTTCAGTGTTAAATTTTGCAAATAAATCTAATGAGTTCTATGACATCTGCCTCAGTTTTCCCCACTAGATACACAGATTGAAATGTTCCATAAACTTTGAAGTTTACAAATGAAAATTTCAACAAAATGACAAAATACCTGCTGCTTCCTTCTTCATTTAGTGGTCTCATGGTAGTTTCCAGTCTCATGATCCTTGCCAGGCTTCAAGGTTCTTACTTAAGAAGCTATAACAATAGAATGCAGGCTTCATTAAAGAGTATAATTCCAAAAAATACACCATGTCAAAACATCAATGTAAATTTAACATTAACTGATACTTAATATCTGTTTATATAGTCTTCCACTAACTAAAGTTTAGGCCATACCAATTTTTAATATAGTTCGTCGGATTCGCCGCTTCTATTTACAACAAATCCAAAATATAATATTTAAAAAAAAAATGTCCGCGCGCGCGTCCAAAAATATCCGAGTACAATTTTTTCAACTTCTTACACCAAACGCACAAAAGACTTCGAAACTTGTATAACAGAAGCGCAGGATTCAGTAAGTTTGTAGCAGTGTGTGAAGTTTTGCACGATGCCTGTGTTCATATGTACTATAGTTAAAAACAATGGGTTCGAAGTCGTACTATACACAGCAATAGAAATGGAAGCAGAGGAGACGTTTGAAGCTTTGTTTGATGAAACAATAAAGAGAACATCGTCAACATATGAAAAATACACACAACGGTTTAGTAAATTTTGACAATATTTGTTCTATAAAAATTAAAGAAAATTCAAAAGCGACGCAATTAGGATTTCGAAACCTGACATGACCTTAACAATTTGCAAAGAATTAAACAGAAAATTCGTAGAAATGAAACTACGTCTAAATTGCAATGTTACTCACGAGAAACAAAAGGAAGACGCGTTTTCGCGTCTTATGAGTGCATCGAAAACGTATTCTCTCCCAGAAAAAATAATAGGAAAAAGAGAAGAACTTTCAGGACCACAGAATTTATATAACGATTTAATAGAATGGGCATCAGACTTCGACAATGGTTGGACTTCACAGTTCATAGAAAGTGGCAAGAAGGTCTTCACATGTCTACGTAATGCACTATGGTATGTTGACAATTCACATGCTAAATTTAAGGAAAGTGGCTGCCCAATTCCAGGTAATTTTCAGAAATTTAGTGGGTATAATAACTTCAAAAAACATCGCCACACACCACCAATTATTACACAGGAAAAATTGAACTAGCACTGCCTTCAGTTGTCCAATTGCCTTTCATTTCCCTCTATGTCAACAAAAAATCATAAAACATTATCAGTTCATATGGAGTCTCTTCTTGAGTGTCTTTTGAAATATAAGAAAAGACTTTACAAAGACAATACTCAACATAAAGAAATATCATGAAAGGTCAGAACCAACTTTTCAACCAGATCAAGACAGCTCTCGTCAATTTATATCTGCTGTTACTAAAGTTGATAGCATATATTCACCATTGGATCAAGTGGTTGTATCATCAGAAAATTATGAAATCATTGATGTGGATAATTTCTGCCCTGTGGATCGGTTCAAAAGGAAAAAATTCATTAAAGAGTTACGATTATCAAAGTCGGTTATGCTTTATAGACTTTCCTTTGGTGGTAGTGTTGGGACTCTGAACTTTGTTTGGAGGGTACCTGATGAAGATTCCCCAGAAAGGTCCACACAAAATTCTCGATTGGAGGGGAAAATATTGAAGAGTCTTCCAAAGTTTTCAACTCGTGCTATGCGCAGAGAATTCATAAACAAGTATGAGAAATATGTTAAAGCGCCAAAATCAGTACTGCGTCAGATGTACCATGAATTAACAGACACAGAGGAAGTGTCTGGTAATAAAGCCCAGCAAGAAGTAAATAATCGTGCAATGGAAATACTGTTAAATGGTGGTGATACTGACCTTTTGTTTGACTTAAGAACAATGCGAGGGAAAGATATTGACACAAAATTTGGGATCTTTTTTGAAGAAATGGGGAAATATTTTGATGAAAAACTGTTAGCAGTACAAGAGAGATGCCATGGAAATGAACTTTATTTACCCCTTGCTATATCAATTGAAGACCTCATGAATGAAGTCAAAGAGAGAATTCCAGAAGGGACACCTGTACCATGTGCAGAAACTGTGCGCCTCCAGTTTACCCCGCAGAATCTGTTTAGACAAACTGCTTTAAAATATACAGGGCATTTTAACATCAAGTTCAGAGTTCAAACTCGTCAATCAAGAGTAGACCACATTGATGCAAAATATGTTGCTGTGACATTTAGGTACCTGAAGGAATTTCTTGTTCAGTACAAACAACATGCCCTTTTTGTATGCATGGATGATAAAGCAACTGTGCCAGTAGGAGAACCAGGGATTCCAATATCTACTGGTGTCAGAGGCCACAACAAAGTGATGGCTCCAGCAGATGGGCCAGCTCTTACATGTACAGACCATGACTTCCATATTGCTGGGATTATCCCATCTGTTGCCTTAGTGGTGAGACACCTGAATTTCCTGAGGATAGCTTTTTCCAAGGAAAGATGTTTGTCACTACATGTATTAAAGACAAAATTTTTCAACATTCTACACCCTACAGGGTTTTGCTTAAGATTTTAAGGAATAATTATTCTGATAATGATGTGGACTTGAATGTTCCTATTTTGTGTTTGATGACGGATGGATGGCCGGATCATAGATTGACATATGAAACTGTGAAAACTTCTTTGCTTCTTCTTCTCCTGCAGCTGGACTTGGATATGATAATTGCTATTAGAACAGCGCCAAATAACAGTTGGGTTAATCCAGCAGAACGCTGCATGTCTATTCTTAATTTAGCTCTCCAGCATAGTGTTCTTGCTCGAGATGAAATGACCCCCGAGTTTGAGAAAATGGTGAAACATAGTAGTTCTTTGAATGCTAATATGGCCAACTGTAAACCAGGCCTTAGAGAGGCATACCTGGAGAGTATGACTCAAGTGATTCACACGGTGGGAAAGCGATTTGAAAGAATGAAACTTAAAGGAGAACCACTTGAAGTCTCTACTGGACTCAAAGAATCTGTTATACAGAGACGAATGCGGATTGTGAACGAAGTTACACATGCACCAAATTCTAAAGTCAACACCTCTGCATCAACAAAGGAACTTCGAGAATGTACAGAGCTTCAAGTAATATTTAGTTATATTATTTACCATGGATCAAAGAATTCTTGAAATGGTGAAATTGTCCAATAGTAGATTTTATAGTTATGATACCTAATTTTATTTCTACAGGATTTCCTACAGATGCATTGTATCAGCACCCACTACTGTTTCCAGATAATGAAGTGTGTAGGAGAGAATCCTTGTTCATACTGCACCATGAATCCAGCCAGACTACCTGATGATGTACTTAGTGGTCTCTCATTTCTTCCATGTCCAGTACCAGATGACAGTGGTGTTCATTATAAAACTTTTCAAGAGGTATGAACATTTAAATTAAATTATTTATACCTATTGTTTACCTTTTAATTTAAAAAGAAATCATCATATGCATTTATGATGTTGATATTACAATTCTATCAAAAAATTAATTTTGTGTGCAAACTTAGTTAAAACTAAATTGTTCAGGTGTATGGAAAGACGGTGGATGACAGTCACTGTCCATCATCCAAACAGAATTCAGACTTCAGTGAGGAGGCACAGAATGCAGATAAACAGAACCGTGATACATTAAAAACGCAGAGAGCAAGAGATATCATCCCCTGTGGTGAATGCGGAAAACCCAGACTATTGTTTTCCCCATCCAAAACTGTCAATTATCATACAGGAAATTTCCTTACGAAGAATGAAGGAGGAAGGTGCTTTTACATGTGGTGATGATGTTGACATTGAAGGATTTGTTGTTCGGAGATCCATCTCTTGCAATTCGAGCATAGAGATATCATATTATTCTGCAAATCTTAGAAATTTTTTGCCACCTGTGTGCCTCTACTGTGGAACAGAAGATAATCTGTTGGATGACAATGACGACTACATTGTACATTGTTATGAGAACTATTCAATTGTCAGGCCCATCTGTAGGCAATGCAGGTCCTCTGGACGTGAGGCAGGGACTTGGGGGAGGAAATTCTTTAAAAAGACCTGATCATTTAATGTTGCAAAACATTGCATTTATGAAAATAAACTCTTTGAAACTTGACACATTTTTATTTATTGAAAAAAAATATCCAAAAAAAGTTAAGAATAATAAGTTCATGTGGTATGCAAATGATATCTGTCTTTATTTTTTAGGCCCTCGCTCTTTGAAATCACACTTAATTAAAAAATATATATATATATTAATTATATTCGCTCGCCTCATAATTTTGAAACCCAAAATGAAAAATAATATTTGTAAAATTATTTCGCCCGCTCGCCTCACTTTTTATTTTTGAAAATCCGAAGAACTATTTTACAAATTGGTGTGGCCTTAACATGCAAAACCGGGAAATATTTAACTGTGTATGTATGTTTGATCTTCATGGACTTGACTGTATGCCAAAAAGTATTTTACACATATTCAATTCGTTTCTTCTGTTTAAAAAAAATTAATAAATATTGAAATATACAACATAACATCTGCACTAAATATAGCAGTATTTGTGTTCTAATGTTTCATCGTATTAAGTATTACAAAGAACCACTCGCCACTTACCCCACTTGCCAGGATATCTATACTTCTTCCAACATTCCCTTGACTGTAGGCCTAGCAAGCTTTTTTGGGAAAGAGAACATGCTTTAAGTGAAGAATAAGCGTCCATTTGGGCATCCGTTGGGTATTGCGTTACATTTTCACTATATATCTAAACATTGCCGCTCCTTGAACTCCTATATTGCGCTTCTCGGTGAATTCTCGTGAGAAGATGCTTACAAGACGGTGTAAAGTGATTTCGTACCATACCATGAAAATGCGGTTTGTCATTTTATTCTTAAAAATGATAATTTGTGATGAATAAGAACTTATGTTTTTTTCTACAAAAAGAAAGTATATTTTAGCGAACATTTTATGACAAATAAATGTTCAAAGCTGAGTTGACAGGTGGTGTGTCCTTCATACACTGTGTGCTAATTGATCGAAGATCAATTATTTGTACCACTTCTTGGAAGTTCGCGCGAGAGAATGCTGCAGACATGGTATAGGGGTATTTTGTATACCATTAAGAAATAGCCCGACATTTACCGAGAGTCTTGTGAAAATAAACATATATTTTTTTTTATCAGTGACAAAACGAACTTCATTTCAGTAAAATAAAATATAAAACACCATGCTCAACCAATTTTACTGATAAAAAGTGTTAAGCCACAAAAAATTTTCCAATTACTATGATGATACATTTATGCCAAGAACAATTTGTATGGAAACCGTCCAACACACATGGCGAATCGTGGAGCAGAACATTGTTGTCACATTGTGCAGTAAACAACGACTTTTTTCACATCTGCAAGCCTGTCAGGATATTTGTAAGTATTGTATTGCTTAGTGATGAATGAACATCAATATGTCTGACCGTTAGGGCAAGTGCAGTTTTATTGTTTTTAATAATTATTCTACATCTCTAAACCTCTGAAATGTTGTTATGATCTCTGTTTATGACAATAAAATTTTCAGTAAATTCTTTTAGTTTTACTGTGTATTTTAGGTTCATCTTTAAAAAAAAAAGGATATTCAGTATTAAAAACAAAATGGGAAATATATTATTCTCAAATTCTCCATACAACAAGATTCCTACCCTCTCAGATTATTCCGACAAAATCTGATATACCCGAGCCATTTTAAGTCAGAAAGTGACGAAAGTATGATGTCACATACAAAGTCATTTTTTCTGAGCATGCAGACGATATAGTTTTTAGGTGTGGAAATTGCATTTATAATACTAGAAACTCATTGCGAGCAATGAGAGGTCTTCCGTCCGATTTTTAAAATAAAACGTAAATTCAAGCTGAAAAAATGAAAAAAAAATCAGACACTCTGGAGATTTAACCCTGGTCGTCGGCGTGAAATCAAACGGGCTAACCATTACGCCACTTCAACTCCCACTTCAAAGTGAAAATGACGAATATCAATAGTTTGGATTCATCAATTCGAAAACAAATTATATATTTAGTATTTTGAAAAGAGGCTCTCTTAACCCTACAAATATTACAGAAAAATACTGAAGTTGAAACAATAGATTTTTTAAATTCGCTTCCGGTAGCGACCAGAAATAGCGACGACGCTTGAAAAAGTCCCTTCGCCAATCTAGAAATCATGTTCTATCATCTCTAACCAAAAACACACCCACCATCATTTATAAAGATAAAAACCTAAATTTAAGGAAACAAATTTGGGATTAAACCCAGATCACCTTCGTGAAAATTCAATATGGAAATCACTACACCAGCGCAATTTTACCAACCATCATCGATGTTTACAATCTATCATTGCCTGAAGTAACGAGCGTCAGGAAGGTTAAAAGTTTTTTTTTTTTAAATATATAGTGCGGAATTATAGAGAGCTAGCTAGACAAATTTTGTGCAAGCAGATTCACATCGGAATTCATTACTTGAGTTTAAACAATAACAAATAATCTATTACTGATGAACTGGTGATACTGTTTACTTCCTTTATTCTTTGTGTATTCAACTTTTTATTCCATGCAATTCCATATAGCTGTATTTCATACAAACGTGTCCGTGTAATCTTTTTCTGCACTTCTGCATCAGACCATTTTTCTACTATGAAGAAGAGTCACGATACATTATTTTGCACCAAAAGTCACGAGTAAATCTTCGCGCCTTTTCTTTGAAATGTATGTTCTATGGAATGGTCTCCATTCTCATATATTTTATTGTATGTACCGTACAAATTACTCATTTTATTGCATTTGGAGGTCAGAGTATTTATGTTTTCAAAGACAGATTATCCATTTCACAATCTGCCAGATCCAAAAATTCCTTCATATTTCATTTATCCTTATGGTAGTTTCGTTCAACAAGACACTCGGCTGTCTCCATAAACTCCGACCTGCCAACCGGCAATCCTCGACTGACTCCGCTAAGATCCATACAAACCCCGGAAGTGATTGGTGGAGAAATATGCATCAAATCGATTACATTTCTTCGCCGGAAACTGCCTTCTAACTCATTTCATATTTTACTCTGCATAAAGTTCTTCAATCATTTTTTTTCTCTTGTCTAATTCTTCCTTTTATATTGGTTTTGATCACAACATCATGTAAGTAGTCTTTGAAAGCAAAACATAGTGTTGGGTGTCTTCAAAGTAACTCAGACTTCAAAGGTATAACATTTGGAGGAATTTCAAATAAGATCACATGACTGTATCAGCAACATGGTAGAACACCATTGACGTCCGAGGTTGGTGTGCAGGAACGAACCATCCGAGGAGCTCCGAGTGCCGACTTGCTCGTCGGAGTTTACAAAGACAGCCGCCATTTTGGACCCGCTTCAAATTTTAAAATACGAATATCTAGAGTTTGGATTTATCAATTTTTAAACAAATTATATCTTAAGCCTTTTTGGAAATGCCTCTATTAACCCTAATAATATCAAAGAAAAAAGTTAAAAAACAAAAAAGTGAGAAAATACGACTTTTTAAATTCGCATCCAGTGACGACCGGAAGTACCAACGACGAACGAAAAGTCACGTCCCGGCTAGGATTTATCACGATCTATAATCCCTAAAAGTTTCACATTGATATCCTTTACCGTTCTTGAGATTATCCGAGGACAAAATGTCTTTTTAAATTCAGAAAATGGTCTGTAACTTGGCACCGGAAGGGATTTTCCAAAAAATCTCTCGGATAAAATAACTTCAGATTACAACACATTGTTCCTGCAAATCTCATAAAAATCCATCCAGTAGTCTTCGAGAAATCGCGTGCACAAAATTAGATGGTCAGAAAAATAATAATAATAATAAGAAACAGTAGAATCACTATAAGGTCTTCCGTGAAGACGGAAGACCTTAATTAATTTAAATTTTATTTAGTGTACTCTTGTTTCAATGACTCATGTTTAGTTTTCTTTTGTACAGGTATCTCTGGCTGCTATGGGTGTTGACAACAGTGAAATCATACAGATTCGGATGAAGATAATAAAGATAGTGATGTCAAAGACAGTTTGATGAACCAAATGACACTGATAAAGAGGAAGATACAAAGAATGATACTTCTAGCCAGGCATGTGACTATGAAGATGATAGTTTACTGTTTAGTAACCACCTCAAATCAGTGATTTGTTTTTTAGCTCTTCTGAGCCAAAGGCTCAAAGAGCTAATGCTATGGCCATTTGTGCGGTGTGCGGTGTGCGTAAACTTTTTAGAATATAGGCCATAACTCAAGAACCCCTTGGCCAATTATTGTCAAATTTGTCACAGGGTATCCTTGGCCCAAGGGCTCCCTTTTATACTAAAACTGGGGTTGTGACCCTTTAACAAGGGGAGATAATTAGGAAAATAGAAACAAAAGTACTGGTTGCTAAAAAATCTTCTTCTCAAGAACCACTGGGCAGATTATCACCAAACTTACACAATAGGATGAGGATATGTTGTAGATTAAAATTTGCACGGGGATTTACCCTGGGGCAAAGGGCGTGGTCTCAAGGTCACTTCAAAGTTGACCAAAAATTACATTTTATTAAAATGTTGATATTTTGCTTACTATAAGGACTAGGATCATCAAATCTTGTCAGTTGGTGCATCTAAGGACCTCATATCATGTTGACTCAAAAGTAGGTCACGGTGACCTACTTTTCAAATTTTGCGGCCATTCTTTTTCATAATGATTTAGAGGCATATTTTGAACAATTTAAGGCCTATGATCATCAAACTTTGTCAGTTGATGCATCTTGGGTCGTCAAAGTACGTCACTTAAAAAGTAGGTCACCTTGACCTACTTTTTGAATTTTATGGCTAATCTTTTTTAAAACAATTAAGGTCATTAATTCGAATACGGGGAGGCTTAGAATCATTAAATCTTGTAAGATGATGCCTCTTGGGGCCATAAAACATATTTATTAAAAAGTAGGTCACCGTGACCTACTTTTTGAACTTTGCAGGCATTCGATTTCAAAGCGT